ACATGTTGAGGAGTTCATTTAGTCGTTTAAATCAAGGACACATCTAAAACCTGCAGGACACTGGCCCTCCAGGCCTGCAGGTCCCCAGCTTTGACTTAAAGTGTCACAGTCTAAGGACTAAATCTGGTTTTTGCTCAGCAGCGTTTTCTCTATAAGCATCTTTGACCTTCAGTATCGTGGTTGATATCAGAGTTTGAATAAACTGCAGCAGTGTAATGATGGTCTGTGATGAAGAGGAGCAGAGAAAAAGGTATCCTGCATGTTTCATCTGTTTTCTGAAGATTCACTTGGAAACTTTATTTTGGTTACATTTTGTGATGTGATGTGTTTTTCAGCCCTGAAACTTGTAGAGCTCAAATTGTTGTGTGTAATTCAAGGACCTGTAAATCTGAGCATTTTCACAGTATGGAGGTAAAATTTAGGACGCCTTCATTAAATGTACGACATCGTAGAAAAAAATCAGCTGATCCTGAGGCAGTCGAGTTGATTTTTCATGGAAAGTGTCAGAGAGAAACGAATGCTGGAGAAATAAGAAAGTCGAGTCCCCGGTAGCGCTCTCGCTGCAGCATTTCAGACCGATGTGGGCCAAATATGTAGGAAGAAAACTGCAGAAGCCAGAAAAAGTTTCAAGGCGAGAGTTATACGAGGTCACGAGCAGCAGTTACTGAAGGAGACTGACGGTCAGAGAGCTCTCTCAGCTATGGTTGTGCTTTTGTTAACCACAAGTAAGCCTGAGGCTCCACGGCTGTCTGACAAGCATACTTTCAGCTTTATTTTGCACCACATATACAACTCACTTCCAAAGGGCTGCTAATGCATAATAGAGATCATTAGAAACCAGTGGATGGGATTTGCTTTGCACTGTATGAGCATCTTCTGATTTAACAGGAACTAAATGTTCCCAGAAAGCATCACTTCCTGTCGATTAGGCTCATATAGACTTTTAAGCATCCGCATCAAGACTGCTGCCACAGGCAAAATAAACCTTTACTTGTAGCTTTTAGATTTCTGGTAGTTTGCATTTAACAAAATGGATTTAGTCTGCAAAGAATGCACGCACCTACAATACGGTAAGCCGGCTGAGAATACCTTAACCAGACGTTATAAGCAGCACATTGTGTCCCGCATTCAGCGTGCTCATATAGGGAGTTGGACAGTTTTTTTTCTAATCCCATCCGACACCCTCCAATCTCAGAGCACAAGCTGAGATTAATGCTGCCGGCTATTTTCACTCCCTGCGAGCGCCTCCAACCAAACAAAGTGATGCAAGGCTGTTTACCAGCTCGAAACTCTGCAGGAGATCAAGTGTGAAGCAACCTAATAGGATTTGCACTTGAACATGTTTCCTGATTCTCAGACAAAGAGGGAAATGATGCAATTTGGGATTAATGGAGGAGAATAAGGCACAAAGAAGTCAATAAAGTAGTGAATGAAGGGATTATTGAACCGATGACTGAATGAATAAAAGGATGCAATGACCCAACGGTGGCTGTTCATTGATTTAGATCCTCACCTTTGCCTACCTGCCTTTGGAAGCTTTCGATGCTTCACCTGTGATCGTGACCTGCATGTGGTTGTGGATGCAGGAGGCTGGAATTACTTTGTGCTGCAGTGCGGCTCAGCTCAACCTTCGAGTGACAAAGCGAGCTCAGAGCAGAGCCGCTGCATCGTCATGAGGAATGCAACCAGGTGATGTGTCCAGCATATGATCGGGAATGCCTCCAAGTTGACCAGAGATCCCCAGGTACACCCAGAAATCCGAACATGCGTAGTTCATCTTGGACGTTTTAAAGTGGGAGTCTATGGGGACGGACTCCCTGCTGGAGCCTCTGCTGGGCGTTAGAGGAGCTGCAGGTGTAGTTGCTTTGGTTTAATACACTATATGGACACAGAATTAATCTTTGAGTTCAGGTGTGTTCAGGTGTGGTCTGTAAAATGCGGCTCCTGCCTTTACAAACATCGATGAAAGAAAGGCTTGTTCTGAAGAGCTCACTGAAACCTGCTGTAGTGTTGCAACTGGATGTGACGTCTGCAACAATGGAATTTCTTGGAGTTTCTTCCCTCCTGGATACTCCTGATCAGCCTCATAGTGTCAGACCAGGTGAAGTCTCAGAGCCGACTCGATAACTGGAGAGCTCCAAACCTCCTCTGGCATTAACACCAACACAAAGACTGCACGCTGGCAGCTTCATGGCCGAGCAGCTCCTGTGGGAGTGAGTGTTTCAGTCCCAGAGGTTATCACCTGACCTAAACCCAGTACAGCGACAGTGCTGGTTTCTATAAGTCTTCTCTTCTTATAATGAGACTTTCAGAAAAGATGCCTGAGTGGCACCAGTGGACTCATCGCATCTGCCAGTGCCACCTTTGAACCTTCAAACTGGGAAACTGAGAAATGCGCCGTGGATGGCGAGGTCATCTGAGTTGTCAGTGGACACAGCTTGCTGATACTGAACTATGCAGGCACAATGGGCCCTGCTGGCCACCCGGGCCAAAAAAGCCTTGGCTGGACAGATTCTCCTCATGCCGATGTTATTACTGTTGGAGGTCCGTGATGGCGGTTAGCCGGCCGAGCCCGACAACAAAAGGCTGTTTTATCCTATTAGCTGAGCGTTAACGTGTCTAATTCCTCTCGAGCTGTTCAGTCTGTCTCTTTGGAAGAGGCACGAAGAGAAATGCGAGAGAATCCTGAGATCCAGTTCAGCGCAGGAGTCCAAGACACACACAGCAGACCCATGTATGTGGGTACGACCCTCACAGCGTTGTCCTCTGCCAGCTCCGCTGTGAGCCAGCACTCAGCCTGGGAGGCAGGCTGAAATGAAACCTGCAGAGGCATGTCAGAAATGTTAATTCTGGTTGACCAGGCATAAATAACATTGTCAGAGGAATTAGAGTTTGTTCCTGTCCTGTGGGTTTTACTGACTGCCTGCACTGTCGCTGCTGCAGCAAAGGTTTCTCCAGCTGTTTAAACTCATGCTTTGACTATTGTCCTGGTGGTACACGGGCTAGATCGCACTCAGAAGGAAAAACTTTATTAATCCCTGCAGGAGATTTCCTATCGTAACAGCTGCTCGGGACTGTGGAAGTTGTAAAATTATACAACTGCAGCAAAAAAGCTGAGGAAACTGGATGGCCTCGGGAACCAAAGGACACGCTGCGAGGGACCGCACGCAGATGATCTCGATCCAGATTCGATCCAAGCCAAGTTCTGATGTTTTATCAGCAACAGATTCATAAAATATCTGCAGACGTACTCTGAAGGAACGTCTTCAGGAGGAGGAGGCGACTCTGGCCCTCTCTGCAGAGACAGCAGCAGAGATTCCTGTCCACGTAGGACCCCAGGTATTTGTCTCTGTGCCCTAAAGGAGAAAAGAGATGTAGGAGTCCTGCATCACCTTAAGTCCATCAGCAGCTCCTTTAGTTCAGCTGATGTTGAGTCTGGATGGTTCAGCTCACAGCAGAACTCTAAACTGTGAAAAAGCACTTTGGAAGGCTCGGCTCGTTCCCCCTCTGACTTCCAGTATTTTCCATAAATACTTCATTGTGCTTCATTTTTCCTCTCTCGCACACACACGCGCGCGCGCGCGCGCGCGCGCGCGCGCGCACGCACGCACGCACGCACGCACACACGCACGCACACACACACGCACACACGCACACACACACCAAGGCACCACAGGGTCTGTAGTGACATCACTGACCCAGGGAAGCCAATTTTCCTATTTTTGGTGACACACAGCCAGGAAAACTCTCTCCCGCTCTCTATCAGAGCCTCCCTCCATCACTCCCTCTCTTTCATCTCAGCTTTTCACACAGCAGATAAGATAGGAGAAAGGTCGGTGTTCGGTGGGGGGGTGCGTCGAGGCTGTAGCAGCTTTGTGTGACTGCTTGCCTAAAACAGACGACTGTTTCGTGTGACGTAATGCTACTGTTGGGTGTCTGCACAGGGCGAGGCTCTCATCAGTGTTTCGGCAGAGAGACCTGCTGTCCGTGCCGACGAACCGCCGGACTCTTCTGCACTTTGGACAACGCTCCCGATGGGACGATGCTGCGCGCACGGATCACAAACTGTCAGAAATTACTTGGCTGCATCCAGTCAGGCATGTTTTGAGTAAGAGGATTGGATTATGTATAATTCAGATATCTTGGCCGAGTCTTTTTGAGCGTTTTTTGGCCTGGTGATGGTAAAATATCAAGCGTTGAAATAAGAAACCCGAGTTTGCAAAGAGGTTTCTACAGCAGCAGAAGGACTCTCGAGGCCTGCTGCTGCGGTACGATCAGTCTCCACTGATCAGCCTGTTTTACACCCAACATGCATCTCAAACAGATTATGAGTCACTGCTGAACATGGAGACTGTCACGGTCTGGCTAGGGCAGACCGTATGTTGCAGGGAAGGACTCAAGCGCAGACCGAAATGAGATGTGAATAACAAAACAAGCCGTTTATTAAGGCAAGAAACGAGGGTACAAAATAATAGGGAATCGATGAAAACTAAACAATGACCTAAACTGGGTGAACTAAAACAAAACATAGCAAACTCTAAACATAACAAACTGACAGGGATACCTGGAGCGGAGACATAGGAAACAACGGACGAATACAACGGACGAATACAATGGGCGACCTGACCAAGAATGACTGAGAACACACAGACTAAATGGACACAGGAAGATAATGAGGGAAGTGGCAACACCTGGGGAAACAGCTGGCACACATGAACATAATGACGTCACAGTGGGAGAGTAAAACTGAACACGATGAACACAGAAACGCCAGACCTCTTCACAATAAAACAGGAAACAGAGTGAGATATAGACATGACAACCTGAACTTGACAACATAAGCCACCGACATGAAATACATGAAAAGCAGGGGAGACTTAACATGGTGGAAACACGAGGGGAAAATAACTAGAAACACCTAGGCATGAAAACGATGAACTTAGGAAACCTGAAGGCTACATAAACTAAACACAAAACGCTGGGTCAGCAGACCCAGGATCATGACAGAGGCAGGGCCAGAGGACAGGTTTGGCGAAGCCGACTGGGACGCCTGGGGTTTCCACCAGGACGGTCACGCTGGCGATGGTTTTACTCACATGTGACCAACATAACACACTCACACGTAAACGCTCTGAAATGTATTTAGGAGCTTGTGTGCAAACATAACATATAAGATTCAGCCTCTGTTTTTCTACCACAGCAGCTGTTGTAGTTGATGGTGGCGCCGCAGCTCCTCTGACACGCCCACAGCGACAAAGATGGTCGACAGCAGCGGCGTTGTGGCGCTCCACAACGGAGAGGAACTGGCAACCTGTCCTGGGTGTAGCCCACGTGTAGGCTCCGCCCCCACCCCATAACCCCAAATGGATAGGTTAAGAGCAGTTAAAAGGATGGATGGATGGAAACGAAGGTGAAGCGTGCGAGTCAGTGACGTGTAGAAGTCTGGGGAATATGAAGCGACCACATGCATACGTGAACATTTCTTGTTTAATGTTTGCCGGGTGATGCATCGGCCGCTGTTCTCCTGAACGTTCCTGCACGCCGTCATGTGCACGCCCTCCTGCACAGCCTGCATCCAGTATTTATGATTATGATAAAACTGTGGGAAATATTCCAGCCTGCTTCTCCTGAAATAGCTTGTGTGGGAAAATGTCTGTATTATATAATAGTCCTATATGCAGCGTATAATATGATGCGTAATATATATAGCTTTATAAAAGAGCAGTGAGATAACAGCGATATCTGTAAATGTAAATAAAAATGTGAGTCAGTTTTTATCTACATCATGAATCTGAGTGACCTTCAAACTCTGAACACAGAGGTGGAAACATCTGTAACATCTGTAAATGCTTTACAGCGGCTGCTGTCGTGACGTGCTGTTAGTGAGGCTGCGATCAGTCCCGCTGCTCTGAATCATTTATTCATATTCACCTGTGGCTCCTCAGCCTATCGGGAGCGACCGTCGGAGTCTGACCGCTCGTCCCACCGAAAGACGTTCTTTTATCGGGGCTTTCTTGGACAGCAGGAGTCCACAGGCCAGTTTTACCCAGAGATGCTTCTCTGTGTCGGGCTGGAAGGAGAGACGGCGTCAGCTCCATGTATCCAGTGGGAATCGTTGGAAATCAGACATGTAGACTGTGTTTCTAGATTTTTCCTCACTGAAAACACAAATAGACATTTTATTTGTGAAGCTATAAACTCGAGATTACATTTACTGAAGTGTAACTAATGATAACTGATCCTGTAGAGGAAAGTTTTCAACCTGATCTTAAAAAAGTTTCTGTCTCCTGTGTTATCATAAGTTAATAAATGTCTCGATCCTGGGTCGGTGACTCGGTGCTTTTGTGTTATTGTGAACCTTTGATTCCATCATGGATCATCAATGTTGGTGTTTTAGTTTTTGTTCTCGGGTATTTCTTGAGTTCTAGTTCTTTGCTTTTGTTTGTTTACTGTAGCTTTAGTTCTGTCTTCATGCTTATTTTCTTAGATTAGATTAGATTAGATAGAACTTTATTAATCCCTCGGGTGGGTTCCTCTGGGAAATTCGATTTCCAAAAAAGCACAGCACCGACAGAAGTTACAGAGTTACAGAATATTATATATATATATATATATATATACACACACACACATATATATATATAAATACAGAGACAATATAAATAAAATATACGAAGGGGATAAATAGGAATAAAAAAATAAAAATAAAAAAATAAAAAAATCTTGTCCCCCAGTCAGTCGTGTTTCATGTCACTCCTGTCCCTGTGCTCCCTGTGTTTCCGGTTTTATTTTGATAATCCTTGGGGGTGTCCAAATTCATAGGCTGCATCCTCCTGAGGACCCGGCCTTCGCGGTCTACGTGGGCGGGTCCTTTGAAGACTGAAAAAGCTGGACAGATTTGCGTCACCGCTGTCTCTGTAGAGTTTAATAAACTCGGCCGTCTGCTGCTCGCTTCCTCAATATAACAGGACACTGGAGTAAACTCTCCACCGTCTCACTTCTGTTTAATCAGTTTTCTGTTTGACGTTTATTCAGCTGTGTGAAAACTAGAACTTTAATCTCAGCCAAACCGATTTACTCAGGAACAAATAAAATACTGAAAAATGCCAAACAATAAAAGTTTTATGTTATCTGAGTGACTCATATATCATGTTTAACCTGAGTAGCCAAAGACCGCGAGGGGTTTGAAAACGCTGTGCCAGGAGTTCGCCGTTCTCGCCCCGGTCAGCTGTCGAGCTGGTGGGTAACAGACGTCTCCGAAAACGTCGGAGCACTTTTGCAAACATGTGGTGTCTTGATAAACCGAGCAGATGTTTGAAGCTTACACAGCTACATTCTCGTGTGACACAGAAAGAGTAATAAGAGTAATATTAAAACTTAGTAGCTGCTGCCATTGTTGGAAACTGGAGTTGACTGGGCCGCGCTATGAATTCTGGGATATGGTGGGCCAGGAAGACGCAGCCTTCGTCTCCTGGCTGTGACGCAAACGGCCTCAGGAAGATGCAGCCTATGAAGTTGGTCCCAGCTGCGTTCCCACCCGTTCCCCTACCTGTGTGCTTTCCTTGTTCTCTGTCCCAGTTTAGCTCCCTAGTTTTCATGTTTCTAGTTTCTGGTTTAGTTTTCATGTTTTCATTGTGGAGTTTGTCCCGCAGATAAAGCTGGCGTTTTACGTTTACTTCCCCGAGTGTGTCGGGTCCTGCCTGCTACACAGCAAACGTGACAATGAAATGTCTTTTCCCATTTAGCTGCCCGTTCACCACTGGTGTAATAGTTTCTTCAGTTTCACATTTCTTGCGTCTCATTCTGGGAGTGTTGTCGCTCAGCTGTGCGGCGCCTGCATGAGCCGTTCAGCCTCTTTCCTGAGACTTTGGGACTTTTTCTAGAGAGAGCTAAACTTCTGCTGCGTCGGCTCACTGTGGATATATTTGCTCTAACGCTGTAAAAAGAAATGATCTCTGCCAGCATGGCACACTTTCACTGTGTCCCTCTGAGCCTTTAAGCTTTTTTTAGCTTAAGCTTTATCAAGAATTTATCACGAAGTGTTTCCACACGGCACAGAGCAGTAAATATACGGCCTGTGACGAGCTCTCCTCCAGCAGGTTTGTTGAATTTCCAGCAATCAGACAGAAATGCAGACCGTGGTAGAGCCATGTCTGAGTGTGACTGATTCTCAGATTCTGAGAACAGACGCTCGTGTTGCAGGAGCGTTTTGCTTTAGCAGGCGTTGGAAACCAACGAGGCACGCCTTCTTACAACCACAAAGCTTTGGTGTGAATGTGATTTAATACGCACAACCTTTGTGTTGCTGTTTGTCCTTCTTTAGGCATCCAGGATGACCCGCTCAGATGAGGACAGGGAAATCGGCTGGGATGCCTGGGGCGCCTGGAGCGACTGCTCTCGAACCTGCGGGGGAGGAGCCTCCTACTCGCTACGACGCTGCCTCAATGGAGGGTAACCCTCATTTACCATCTAACAAGACACAATGTGACAGCATCTTTGAAATGTGGAGCGACTTCATGGCAGAAATCTGATCATTAAGACGAGCAAAAGACCAAAATCAGCCTTCGGCGTGTGACGTGCGAGCAGAGCGGCGGCTCTCTGCTCGGGTTAATGAGACTGTTTGATGACTAAAACCTGTCAGACGGTCACAGATCTGCTCAACTCACACATTTATCGTGCCATCAAATATTGAAGAGGAATGTTCTGCTGTGTCGTTACCTGTTAAACAGATGTTTCAGGAGGGCGTGGCTTAGCACAATCATTCAGATTTTAAGCAGTAATTATGATAATTTACAGGTTCATCATTAGAGCATGTTTGCACAATGATGCTGCTCCATCACCATCACAGTCATGTTTGTGTGACTTCATGAAAAACGACCACAGAAATACTAAACATGGCTGTGACCTGCAGTGGACGTGTCACAGCACTGAAATTCACCGAAATCTGCTCAATGTAACCAAACTGTAAGTGAAATCTGAAAATATTAAAACATATAAAATAAAATAAGCAAACTAAGTTTAAAAGTGAACAAGTGGGTCATAAACCCAAAGCCCAGTCGCCTGTTTCTGTGGACTCGTGGCTCCTCCCACTCCTCCCACCATCATCTTTTCCCCCCAAAATCTAACGCTGTGACATCAAAAGTTGAGCAGACAGAGAGCAACAGTAATTATGATGTTGCAGCAAAACAAATGGAGCAGGGATGTCCCACACGCTGTCAGTTTACTCTGATTGGTCAGCTGACCAGGTGGAGCTCAGGTGTTGGTTCCAGCTGCAGGCTAACACAGCGCTAACCACGGTGCCATCAGATATTTCATATATCAATAAGTCACAGTATTCTGTGTTTGAGCTTGTTCGTATGTGACATGCTGTCAGAAGGTGGCGATAACACACCCACAAGCTGTTTGCCAAACACCATCAAACAAGAAAAATAGAGTTCGTGGCGCGGTGAGACGCTCCTGCACAGACAGGAGACACAGCCGTGGTGTCTGCGAGTGGTTACAGATCACAGTCATTATCCTGGTTACAGGTGAGAGCTCAGGTGAAGGCTCAGTGCTGTCCAAGGCTCAGATTAAGCCGAATCCACCTCCTACAACTACTTTTGATGGACCGATGGAAAGGTGGAGGTGTCAAACTTATTCCACATCGTGGGCCATCCACTGTGACCTCAAGTGGGCCAACCAGTCAAACACCATCTTTCTGTCACTTCAAAGAAGTTTAACTAAATATTTCATCTTAGTGTAAGAAGTCTGTTTCTGCAGAACGCCTGAGTGTGTACTTCATAAAGTAAACAGCAGAAATCAGCACGACTCTTTGGGCTCGTTTCTTCCTATAAATAAATAAATAATGTAAGATTTCTAACATAGATGGTAAGAGCAGGCCTCTGGCATTAGCCACATTAGCTGCACAGGGGATGATCAGGGCTGCTTGAAGGTATCTCAGCCACAGGTTTTTCAAACTTTCTCTGAACGCTATAAAAACTACACTAAATGTGAGAAGCTAAACGTGGCACATCCTGTGCCCAAAGTAAGCGTACAGAACCGGGAACGCAGCAGAAACTGTAAAGAAGCTTCCGATGGGGAAGACGGCTGGGAGCTGTGATGAAGTGCAGACCTCTGTGTGGACCAGATGGACTCTGGGAAGTCTGCCTGGGCTGGTGTGTTCAGTGTCTTCCTCGCACCGATAAAGGCAGCGAGTGTTTGAGTTGGAGCGTGTTTGCTGGGTTTAAAGCCCGCGGCCGCCTGTCAGTCTGTCTCTGCTCGGCCGTTTGTCGTGCAGCGTTCAGGAAGTCATCAGAGGCTGTCTGCGTCCTGCGGTATCGCTCTGCAGCCTCCCGGCGATGCATTTGTCTTCATTAAATCTGACTGCAGCGCTCTCACCCGTGCTGCTGCTGAGGCATCTGCTGCGTTCAACAACACACAGTAAATACACTCACAGCGGTG